CCTTCGACCATGTAGGAAGGTTTCCCCTGACAGCTCGCATGATGTAATGACGGCCATGATGACAGACATAATAATCTGAAGCCACGCATTAGGCAAAGTAAGAGCCAGGATAAATTCATTTTCAAATGTAACTTTCCAGCAACTGTGGTCTGTCAGCGAGAACATGACAATCCTTTTAGAGCCAGCTTATAGCTCATTACACCTGCCAGTTGTTACTGATAATGAATAGATTCATATGAATGGACATTCTCAACTCCCTGGGGAGTGTAATTCTGGCAGACATTGAGCTTCTGATCGACAAATATCATAATTCACCTATTAGGTTTTCCCCTGAGATTGATGGAGAAGGTTATAGCTGTGTGTGTGATAAGTGGTGTATCGCCCAACGATGGTACAATGTATGTTTCAGGCTATACACGTATATATACCATGTAGACATAGATACTATGTTATATATCATGTAGACAGATACTATGTTATATATCATGTAGATATAGATACTATGCTATATATCATGTAGACAGATACTGTTATATATCATGTAGACAGATACTATGTTATATATCATGTAGATATAGATACTATGCTATATATCATGTAGACAGATACTATGTTATATATCATGTAGACATAGATACTGTTATATATCATGTAGATATAGATACTATGTTATATATCATGTAGATATAGATACTATGTTATATATCATGTATACATAGATACTGTTATATATCATGTATACATAGATATTGTTATATATCATGTAGATATAGATACTGTTATATATCATGTATACGTAGATACTGTTATATATCATGTAGACAGATACTGTTATATATCATGTAGATATAGATACTGTTATATATCATGTAGACACAGATACTGTTATATATCATCTATACATAGATACTATGTTATATATCATGTAGACATAGATACTGTTATATATCATGTAGACATAGATACTGTTATATATCATGTAGACAGATACTGTTATATATCATGTAGATATAGATACTGTTATATATCATGTAGATATAGATACTGTTATATATCATCTATACATAGATACTATGTTATATATCATGTAGATATAGATACTGTTATATATCATGTAGATATAGATACTGTTATATATCATGTAGACATAGATACTGTTATATATCATGTAGACATAGATACTGTTATATACCATGTATACAGATACTGTTATGTATCATGTAGATATAGATACTGTTATATATCATGTATACGTAGATACTGTTATATATCATGTAGACAGATACTGTTATATATCATGTAGATATAGATACTGTTATATATCATGTAGATATAGATACTGTTATATATCATCTATACATAGATACTATGTTATATATCATGTAGATATAGATACTGTTATATATCATCTATACATAGATACTATGTTATATATCATGTAGATATAGATACTGTTATATATCATGTAGATATAGATACTGTTATATATCATGTAGACATAGATACTGTTATATATCATGTAGACATATATACTGTTATATATCATGTATACATAGATACTGTTATATATCATGTAGACATAGATACTGTTATATATCATGTATACATAGATACTGTTATATATCATGTAGATATAGATACTGTTATATATCATGTATACATAGATACTATGTTATATATCATGTATACATAGATACTGTTATATATCATGTATACATAGATACTGTTATATATCATGTAGATATAGATACTGTTATATATCATGTAGATATAGATACTGTTATATATCATGTAGACATAGATACTGTTATACATCATGTAGACATAGATACTATGTTATATATCATGTAGATATAGATACTGTTATATATCATGTAGACATATATACTATGTTATATATCACGTATACATAGATACTGTTATATATCATGTAGACATAGATACTGTTATATATCATGTATACATAGATACTGTTATACATCATGTAGATATAGATACTGTTATATATCATGTATACATAGATACTATGTTATATATCATGTATACATAGATACTGTTATATATCATGTAGACATAGATACTGTTATATATCATGTAGATATAGATACTGTTATATATCATGTATACATAGATACTATGTTATATATCATGTATACATAGATACTGTTATACATCATGTAGATATAGATACTGTTATATATCATGTAGACATAGATACTATGTTATATATCATGTATACATAGATACTGTTATATATCATGTAGATATAGATACTGTTATATATCATGTATACATAGATACTGTTATATATCATGTATACATAGATACTGTTATATATCATGTAGATATAGATACAGCGTTGCAAACTCCCGCCTGCCCGACCCGACCGTCCAGGACGGTCAGTTTTAAAAGGTGGTCTGGCTGTTGAATCAGCATAATTTTGTAATGTATATAATGACTGAAAACATTTAAAAACGTGTTATTGTGACAATAACCTGACATTAAACAGTTCCCTCCTCCTATTTACCTCCTCTATATTTTATCTTAATCCTGAAAATTCTGGACTGGTAACTTTCCAGCCGCTCTGGTAACTTTTGAGAGTTACCAGACCAGTTGTCTGGCCGAAATTTTGGGGAGTTTACAACACTGATAGATACTATGTTATATATCATGTAGACATATATACTCTGTTATATATTATGTAGATACAGATACTGTTATATATCATGTAGAGATACTATGTTATACATCATGTAGATATAGATACTATGTTATATATCATGTAGATATAGATACTATGTTATATATCATGTAGATATAGATACTATGTTATACATCATGTAGATATAGATACTATGTTATATATCATGTAGATATAGATACTATGTTATATATCATGTAGACATAGATACTGTTATACATCATGTAGATATAGATACTATGTTATATATCATGTAGATATAGATACTATGTTATATATCATGTAGACATAGATACTATGTTATATATCATGTAGACATAGATACTATGTTATATATCATGTAGACATAGATACTGTTATATATCATGTAGACATAGATACTATATATATCATGTAGACATAGATACTATGTTATATATCATGTAGACATAGATACTGTTATATATCATGTAGACATAGATACGTTATATATCATGTAGACATAGATACTATGTTATATATCATGTAGACATATATACTATGTTATATATCATGTAGACATAGATACTATGTTATATATCATGTAGATATAGATACAATGATAAATACCCTGGCATCAATCTTTACTGATCTTGTAAGTGAAATACAAGTTGTCTTTATAATGCAATTTAATTAGTTAAATATTATGTACTGTGATTTTCTTGTTTTTGTTTTCAAAAACATGTGTTTTAACATCTGTTGTAGACAAAAGGTGTAAGTTTGGGTTCTGAGCAAGTCAAGATAAATCTGTTTCCAAATCCAGTCTGTTGCTATAAAGAATTGTAACATATTTCAACTACAGATTCAAAAGAGGCAGGAGACATTTCATTTCTAGATTTATTTTTCCTGACCAATTTATCACTTGGACCATAGCGTGCCAGATCTCACATGTGGCTAGGAATCTTGTACACGAAATGTGGTGAGTGTAGTGAAGTGATTGGGATGAAGTGAAATAACCCATGGCCCTGAGATGCTTCATCACAGCGTATCATGAAGCATGGGGCTGTATCTGTGTTCTGTACACGTCTTGTGTAATAACCAGCAGGTTGGGCTTGCACTTGACCACATAGGATGTCTGACCGGGGAAGTCGAACTGGTCTGTACACATTCATGTGTCAGCTGGAACTGATGGGAGCCAGCGGAGCCGACAGAAATCAGCATGTGATTAAATCACGGTGGTGTATAACTTCCCTCCGCAGGTGGAGTTGACACAAATGTTATATATTTGATGGTCATGAAGCATCACCTTTGGACATGTATAGAATCATCTGGGTCTATCTAGTGTCACAAGACTCTCCATCATATGTTCGGGAGATCAAGGTCTTGAACATACAGCATTTATAGACAGATGACTGACTGACTGAGTTTGGTTTTACGCCGCTTTTAGCAATATTCCACCAACATCACGGTGGGGAACACCAGAAATGGGCTTCACACATTGTACCCATGTGGGGATTCACAACCGGGTCTTCTTTAAAGGACGAGCCAATTTCTTTGCTTTAACCACTTAAAGGCTACCCCACAGTGCCCTATAGACAGATGACGTTGCTTGTTTGACAGATGCAATCTCACACAGCTCACAATGTATTACTAACATCCTTTATCAGATTGTGTCGACACAATATGTTCCATCCACTACCATCTTGGCTTGTGTGTGGTTATCACCTGAGGACATTCATGCCTTGTATCCAGTGTATGCAACAACTGATGGTTATACAATGAAGGAAAACCAAGTTCTATGGATAGTCAACTTCTTTTGACTATCCATAGAACTTGGTTTTCTTCATCTATACAACTTCTAAAATGCCTCTCAAAGTGGTTACACAATGTCTGTCAAATTTGATAACTAAGAACATGTCCAAACTTTTGTCTCAATCAAAATGACTAGAGGGATATGAAACACAGCAGTGGACATCTTATACACTGAGCTTATACAAAGGTTAAACAGCAGAAACATGGCTGAGTTCCGCCTGGACACAAACACATTGTCAAAATATGAGTTAAATATACACACGCTCCCAGGGCCACAGGGAGCTGCAGATATGTTATCACCATAATTGTTGATATCTGATAAAAATGTTACAACATTGATGATGTACATACACTTTAGATAAGTCTGGGTTTAATCTTTTCTTCAGCTAAGGCTCATCAGCCTCCAGAACACATCACCTACCAAAATGCCAATATCATCTACCAGTTCAATGCCAATATCACCTGCTGGAACACCAACATCACCTACCACAACTCATACCAAAACATCCAAGATAGAAAGTGGGCTTACCTTCTTGTAGGCTTTGAAGACGTTGCACTTAAAGACGTTGCTGGGTCCGTCACGGGCAATGTAGCTCCAGATCTTCAAGTCCTGGGAATCATGGGATACATAGAAGATCCTGCAACCAATCAGATAAGATGATGATCACTGGTTTACAACAGAGTGCCATAAACAAATAGACATGTAAGTGTTTAACAAAGATTTCAGTTATTTTGTGCGAGGACGTCTCACAACCACTATCAAGTACTGAGGACGTCTTACAACCACTATCAAGTACTGAGGATGTCTCACAACCACCATCAAGTACTGAGGATGTCTCACAATCACGATCAAGTACTGAGGACGTCTCACAACCACCAACAAGTACTGAGGACGTCTCCCAACCACTATCAAGTACTGAGGACATCTTACAACCACTATCAAGTACTGAGGACGTCTCACAACCACCATCAAGTACTGAGGATGTCTCACAACCACCATCAAGTACTGAGGACGTCTCACAACCACCATCAAGTACTGAGGACGTCTCCCAACCACTATCAAGTACTGAGGACATCTTACAACCACTATCAAGTACTGAGGATGTCTCACAACCACCATCAAGTACTGAGGACGTCTCACAACCACCATCAACTACTGAGGACATCTCACAACCACCATCAAGTACTGAGGACATCTCACAACCACCATCAAGTACTGAGGATGTCTCACAACCACCATCAAGTACTGAGGACATCTCACAACCACCATCAAGTACTGAGGACGTCTCACAACCACCATCAAGTACTGAGGACGTCTCACAACCACCATCAAGTACTGAGGATGTCTCACAACCACCATCAAGTACTGAGGACGTCTCACAACCACCATCAAGTGCTGAGGATGTCTCACAACCACCATCAAGTACTGAGGACGTCTCACAACCACCATCAAGTACTGAGGACGTCTCACAACCACCATCAAGTACTGAGGACGTCTCACAACCACCATCAACTACTGAGGACATCTCACAACCACCATCAAGTACTGAGGACGTCTCCCAACCACCATCAAGTCCTGAGGACGTCTCCCAACCACCATCAAGTACTGAGGACTTTTCACAACCACCATCAAGTACTGAGGACATCTCACAACCACCATCAAGTACTAAGGATGTCTCACAACCACCATCAAGTACTGAGGATGTCTCACAACCACCATCAAGTACTTAGGACGTCTCCCAACCACCATCAAGTACTGAGGACGTTTCACAACCACCATCAAGTACTGAGGACGTCTCACAACCACCATCAAGTACTGAGGACATCTAGAAAACCAGCATCAACAAACACTTCCAGATTTTTCACAATTTCACAAAATTCAGGACCTGATATAAACTGAATGACAAGACAAGAGTGTGGGTGAGGGTAAGGTCTAATATTGCTTTGAACAGCATACATATTTACATCAGCCTTTAAGCTCAATGTGGAAGAAACAGCAGAGTTGATACTAATCTTACACAATGGTGGAACCACCAAACCAAGGAACAGAACCCAGCACAAGGGACACAATTCTGCATGTCAGTTAACCGCACTCCTGCACCCTTGTCCTCAGTCCCAACCCTTGTGAGAGAAGCTAAAGTCATAATACTGTAAACCTCACAAACACAGCTTCTATGCTTGTTGGAGGCTGCCCTCTCATATACTATTAAAAAGATGACCTTGTACACTCAAGGTGAAATCCCTCTCATTAAAAAAACATGAAAATAGTGTAAAGGAGGTGATGGAGAGTGAGTTTTTCAGTTGATCCTGTGCTGCCAATAACAAGTGCTCTGACATCGTGAAAGACTCCTGCCTTCTTATCATGTCGTGTAATGAACTGAATTCAACAGACAGTGTCAGCTTACATCCAAGCAAAACACAAGGTACATCTCCTAATCATGTTTTTCTGACATGGTGAATTATCAAAATGTCATGTGAATTAAGCCTTGAGCAGTTCATGAATGACAAACGAGGCAGTTGCTACTCATGTGGTTCAACAAGATGGACTCATAGAGCCATGAAACATTTTTTTAGAAGCATTAGAGCACTTTCAAGTTTGTCGTTCACCCCCACATTTGTATGGCAGGTGAAAGCAGATTCGCGACACGACCTACAGTTTCACTGTCAAGTCACAGCTCCCTCTTGTGGCAGAGGAAGGCAAGCGTCAGGTCACGAGTTGAATCGGAAGCTTCAACACTGCCCTCTCCTACCCCAATCAATACAACATTTCACACATCTTAAACTCTCGTTAGAAACAATTAGAGGCACCGTGTTTCATTAACTGTTGCAACTCTAGACCAATATTAAGTGAAGAAACGACGATCAGATGGAAGTGAGGTGTTTGGATTTGTTTGATGTCGCGGAAAGTGAATGAAATTTGAATAATCAGGATTTATTGAGATCTTGCAAGTCTATCAGATTGAGATCTTCTGACAAATCAGTTTTTGCCTGTATTTCTTCAGCAACGTTCATGTCCATTTACCGGCAGACAGGAAACTCTGCAGGAACAGAGGGGAGAGACAGTTGGGTGAGTGAGTGAGTTGGTGGGTGAGTGAGTGAGGGTGAGTGAGAGTCTAGCAGTGTGTATAGGCATGGGACTAGAAGGATACTAGCAGGGTGTGGATCTCGTAGCATGTGTGACCCATTGAATGAGCGAGTTCAGTTTTACGCCGTTTTTAACAATATTCCAGCAATAGCATGACGGGGAACACCAGAAATGGGCTTCACACATTGTACCCATGTGGGGAATCAAACCCGGGTCTTCGGCGTGAAGAGCGAACGCTTTAACCACAGGGCTACCCCACCGTCCCGACTCACAGCCCAGTTTAAGAGAGTGAGTCTCAGCTGTGAGTCTTGTTAATCACCAGTCAGCAATATGGAAAACTGATAACTCTGAACAGTGCAAACCAGTGACATAAGAAAGTATATCCGTGGCACTGTATCTAACCCAGATCAGTAGTCAGCACTTAAAAGACCAAAGACAAAAATTTGCTGTCTGCATTGATATTCAAACATTTTCTACCAAAATTAATTTCTGCTAAATAAAATTAAACAAATAAGCAAAAAATATCATATACAATGAATGGTGAACTTTACACGGAAATTTACCTCCTGCTGGAGACCCACACCCTGCTGAAGAATCACACCCTGCCAGAGACCCACACCCTGCCAGAGACCCACATCCTGCTGGAGTCCCACGCCCTGCCGGAGACCCTGATCCTGCTGGAGACCCACACCCTGCTGGAGACCCATCCCCCTGCTGGAGGCCCACACCCTGCTGGAGACCCACACCCTCCCGGAGACCCAAACCTTGCTGGGGACCCACACCATAATGGAGACCCACGCTCTGCTGGAGACCCAAACCCTGCTGGGGACCCACACCATGTTGGAGACCCACACCAGAGATGCCAACCCTGAATCTAAGGCTGAAAGCCAGGCCTGAGCACCAAAGGTGCGAGTTGGGGTGAGGGTCTGCCATTTTGTTTCACTTTCATACGGACTATGACATGCTGGAAACATCATCGTAACATGTAATATACACAATCGACACCCAAAGAATGCTAAGCTTCTGAATGCTCTTTACCCACAAATAACTCACTGGTGACTTACAAAATTGAATACAAAAATAAATTCAGAATTTTTCTCAAAAATGAGTGGTAGAAAATCGGAGTAACCCGCCCTGGAGTGGATGGCTCTCTGCCAGCTGGAGACCCACACCCTGCTGGAGTCCCACATCCTGCTGTAGACCCACACCCTGCTGGAGAACACGCCTGCTGGAGTCCCACACACCTGCTGGAGTGCTACACCCTGCTGGAGTCCCACACCCTGCTGGAGACCCACACCCTGCTGGAGTCCCACACCCTGCTGGAGTCCCACACCCTGCTGGAGACCCACACCCTGCTGGAGACCCACACCCTGCTGGAGTCCCACACCCTGCTGGAGACCCACACCCTGCTGGAGACCACGCCCTGCTGGAGACCCACACACTGCTGAAGTACAACACTCTGCCGGAAACCCACACCCTGCTGAAGTCCCACGCCCTGCTAGTGACCCACACTCTGCCGGAGACCCGAACCCTGCTGGAGTCCCACGCCCTGCTAGAGACCCACACCCTGCCGGAGACCCACACCCGGCTGGAGTCCCATGCTCTGCTGGAGACCCAAACCCTGCTGGGGACCCACACCGTGTTGGAGACCCACACCAGAGATGCCAACCCTGAATCTAAGGCTGAAAGCCAGGCCTGAGCACCAAAGGTGGGGGGTTGGGGGTGAGGGTCTGCCATTTTGTTTCACTTTCATACGGACTATGACATGCCTTTGGAAAAACTTTGTGAAACATCATCGTCAAAAACATGCAATAGGCACAATCGACACCCAAAGGATCACACGCTAAGCTTCTGAATGCTGTTTACCAGTGTTCACTCAAATAACTCACTGGTGACTTATGAAATTGTATACCGTAAAAATAAATTCAGAATTTTGAAATTTTGAAAATCGGAGTAACCCGCCAAAATCGGAGCGGATGGCATCTCTGCCACACCCTGCTGGAGACCCACACCCTGCTGGAGTCCCACATCCTGCTGGAGACCCACACCCTGCTGGAGACCCACACCCTGCTGGAGTCCCACATCCTGCTGGAGACCCACACCCTGCTGGAGTCCCACACCCTGCTGGAGACCCACACCCTGCTGGAGTCCCACACCTGCTGGAGACCCACACCCTGCTGGAGTCCCACACCCTGCTGGAGTCCCACACCCTGCTGGAGACCCACACCCTGCTGGAGTCCCACGCCCTGCTGGAGACCCACGCCCTGCTGGAGTCCCACATCCTGCTGTAGACCCACACCCTGCTGGAGAACACGCCCTGCTGGAATCACACACCTGCTGGAGTGCTACATCCTGCTGGAGTCCCACACCCTGCTGGAGACCCACACCCTGCTGGAGTCCCACACCTGCTGGATACCCACACCCTGCTGGAGTCCCACACCCTGCTGGAGACCCACACCCTGCTGGAGACCCACACCCTGCTGGAGTCCCACACCCTGCTGTAGTACCACACCCTGCTGGAGACCCACGCCCTGCTGGAGTCCCACGCCCTGC